GGTGTGTGAAATATGCAAGATCGGATGAACCATATTATTTCTCTATGCCATTGCTTATGATTTATTTGCCAAGTAAAAAACTGTTCAACTATGAAAAAACTTGGGCTGGAAAGTTTTGAGCAATTTGGAAAAAAAATTAACTTGTCATTTGCGACTTTTAGTCAGCTTTGCAATGACAACGGGTGATTTAAACCGTAGCATTAACTGGAATGTGACGCAATGCAAAATTGAGGTATAAATCAGTTGAGAAATACAAATATAAAACAATAACATAATTGGCTATGCAAGTGCTGTAAGCGCAACTTGACATTGTCTATATAGCGAACACTAAAGTTAATGTGCACTCATTTATATATACGCTGTATGTATATAATGGCCTGTACTGGATGTGTAGGCTGTATATCTCGTTATGTTCGTGTATACCCAAAAGTCTCCCGTACTCAATGCTCCCAATTATCTCAGTAGGCACTCACTTAGTTCCAAATAAGGACTGTAGAGTGATTTGTGTACAATTGTGGCTTTTGTTGATAAATTATGGGAATGGGTCATTTCGGGAGGCCTTTTATCTGACATGTTAATTCGTTTGCTCGATCGCTCGTATCACGGAGTTTTGCGAAGAACCTGGTGTGTTTAAACATGGTACTGTGCTTCCAGTCTACGCGTTTGTTATTCAAGTAAGTGCTGTTCAGTGAAATATACGTTGTTTTGAAAATAAGAAATGACGGGTAGAGTGTGAACGTCCTTTAGAAAAACGTAGCCTACTCGTGAACAAGAAATAGCATCTTATACATCCGAATTTCTGCATGTGTAATTTATAATGCATATATAGGATGTAGTTAATACATGTTAAGGATACGGATCTGCATTTTTGTGAGGCTGAAAATGCAAACGGCTCTCAAGAGCGCCTTTCACAAATGCAGAATGTATGTACGTTGAACTTCTTTCGCGCCGTACATAGCAGCCAAGCGTGCAAATCGGAGGTGCGGGGGAAGGACAACTGATCTATTAGCGGTGCGGACAGAAAATAGAAACAACCAAGGAACAACAAAAAATTAACCCGTAAAAACAAACTTTTTCACTATAAATCCTTTATATGCGTGGCGGCTAGAGTCCTCTCGTCCTCTGGCTTGAGATGGCTTCCACCTATGGGTCAGATGATTGCCTGCCACCATTAAGCAATTGGTAATTAAATAGAATTTATTTTTTCCTAAAAAGTGTAACATTTTGGAAAAAAAATTCACGAAAATAAATTGTCACGCACAACGAGTCTGTGTGCAAAATGTCAGCTCGATTGGATCACGGGAAGTGGGTTAAAAAACGACCGAAAGATTTGCACGGTCGTAAGCCCGCAAGCAAGCAAGCAAGTGAACTTAATATAAAGGATTTAAAAATCCCTGAAGCGATGTCTCCACCGCAACAGGCCCGACCGTGACCGCCTAATCGGGATACTTGAGGGTGCCAAACGCCGACGACTTTTACAGCTCCAATCAGAGTGGTTATGTCATTGTCACCTAATAAACGTGATTCATTGTTGAGGGACTTGCTTAGCTTTCCTATACGTTGCACTCCTATCGTTTTGTGTGAGGGGGGGGGGGGGGCTTGGCATTGTTTGTTGTTGTAACTTTCTGACCCTGCCCCGACTGGACATTTGTGAAGTAGAGCTTCATGGCTCATCGGATTTATTTTCAGGGTGAATAAAGATTATGGGCACCGGGCGCAACTGTTAAATAAGATCGATTTCGTAAGAGAAAATGTTGAGTTGTACAAGTTTAAATACGTTTTGATTTGAAGAAACCAAGTTATCTCTGTTTAACACATTGTCATTTATATGTATTCATTAATCTCCTACCCCCCCCCCCCCTTCGCACAAGAAGAGCTCACAAGTGACGACATGACACATCTGTCCCTCTATTTAAGGAACGAAACAGGAGGATTTCTAGACAAATCTGTCTGTCGCCTGATGATGCTAGTTGTACATACTGACGAAACGTCGTACTCAGATTGTAAATGTTGTGGATTTTCTCTCCAATACACCGGTGTGCTGTACTAGTAACGAATTAGCATGTTCTGTTTACGTGACCAACCTTACTTATTGGCTGTGTCGGGTGGTGGCGTGTTTAACGACACATTTCTATTGATGTGATCTAACCCAACAAAACCTATATTATACAATGTATCTCTCCCACTTATGATTGTAATCCCAGTTACAGCCGGTGGTTTTGTGAAGGTACAATACATGCGCTTGTTTATCTGAATGTCATTTCAAATAATTGTTATAGAATATTGCTGTTACTTTAAAACACGTAAAATGCATCTAATAAAACCTGCTTTGTTTCAAGCCAGATGTGGTCAAACGTAATTTACTTCTCACTATCCGCCGTAATTAACTCATCCTATCTGCGGTACATAATGTGCCGGGTGATGAATATCACGAATCCCTTTATTCTTTTATCCGCGGTCACAAAAAACACGGATGACCCTGCAGATAACCTCCTCTTGTAAATTTCGATTTAAAGCTTTCGTGACTGCAGGGATTCATCTTCTTGGTTCTTTCGGTAAAGTCACGTAGAAGGGAAGTAATAAAATAATAAGAATAAAACATAATAAAATAATATAATTATATAATAATATTATGTTTCCTTTTTATTATTTTAAAATAATATAATAATATAATAATATTATTTTTCTTTTTATGATTGTATTACTTCCCTTCTACGTGACTTTACCGAAAGAACCAAGAAGATGGTAACAATCTATCGAGCTCCATGGAGATGGAGCGATGGAGTCAGGACCATAATTCGCGTGGGGCATGCAGGGGGTGCCCCGCTCACCCACCCCCCCGTAAACAAAGCGACGAGTTAGTGCCCCCTAGACAACCATCATGATATATGTTTTCATCAACAGCTGTGTAGAAGAACAACAACTTAATTCATACGCGATTTACATTTATTTTATGAAAACGCTTTCACGTAGAACTCCGTTTCTGGGATATTTATTTCACGAGATACGCGTCGGTCGTATTGCGAAGAGGTGACTACGGAGTTGCGGTGGCTGCATTTTGCGAAGCCGAAGCGCCCCTACAGCGTTAAATGTTCGAGACCGTGAGCGCAATGAGGCGAGTGGGCAGCGAGGTGCGACCGTGCGAGACAAATCAAATATTGGGGCCCGAACTGACCGATCGCCGCTGATAATGTCGTTACTACGCCACTGAATGGAGTGGACGCGTGTGTTAAACGTGTACACAGTGCACCGATGACAGTGCTGCAGGGCATTGTAAGGGTGCTATTACGGAGGGATGTAACGTGAGCTAGAACCTGCTGGGTAAGTTTTGAAAGCATAAAAAAACATCTTCTTGGTTCTTTCGGTAAAGTCACGTAGAAGGGAAATAATACAATAATAAAAAGAAAGCATAATAAAATAATTCTCACGACGTTTCGGCCACAACGCAAGCAGCCGTCCTCGGGTGAAAAACAGGTCTGTCGGGAAGACAGCGTCTGAATGACGCTGCCTTGCGTTGTGGCCGAAACGTCGTGAGAATAATTTTATTATGTTTTATTTTTATTACTTTATTATTTCTCTTCTACGTGACTATACCGAAAGAACCAAGAAGATGAATCCGTGCAGCCACGAAAGCTTTAAATCGAAAAAAAAAACCACTTACAATTGAATACGTCATTAGTTTAGATACGTAACAGGTTGGTAGCCACTTAGGCATAAAAAAAAAACTTTCAACAATAATTTAAGCATAATGTTTTATGTAATCATAGCTATACATGTGACCCATGCCAACTGCAGTACTGTGTGTGCTTTATCGAAATCCTTCCACCCTTTGTGAATCCATCGCTGGATGAAGGCCTCATCACACCATGTGTGGTCATGTGGCTTGTTAAACTATACATAGCATTACCAAACCACCACATTTAAGACTACATTGATCAAGGGTTAGGTCCAGGACAAGTTCAGATGGGAACCGTGGCTGGGATTCAAACTCAGGTTGCCGGGGGTTCATCGGGCAGTGCACAAATGACTGTGCCACCGCTCCACGCCAGCTCGACGTAACAGTCGCTTCAAATGGAACAAAGAGACATTGTAGTTTTTTTATATCTACGTGACCTTCTTGGTTCTTTTGGTAAAGTCACGTAGAACGGAAATAATAAAATAATAAAAATAAAACATAATAAAATTTAATTCTCACGACGTTTCGGCCACAACACAATGTGAAGACAGACAGAGCTGTCTGTTGTGGCCGAAACGTCGTGAGAATTTTATTTTATAATGTTTTATTTGTATTATTTTATTATTTCCCTTCTACGTGACTTTACCGAAAGAACCAAGAAGATGAATCCCTGCGGTCACGAAAGCTTTAAATCGAAAATTATACCTACGTGACTTTACCGAAAGAACAAAAGAGTATAGGGACATTGTACGCACACAAACTGCATACATTCTTCTTTGGTTCTTTCGGTTAAGTCACGTCTAGAGATAAAATAATAAATTAAAATAAAAGCTTTAATTTAATTTATTATTTTATCTTTAGACGTGACTTAACCGAAAGAACCAAAGAATAATTCCTGCAGTCACGAAAGCTCCATAATTAAGATTAAACTGCATACACCTTTGCAAAAAATTACGGTGCATCGTAACATCATCCACGGTGCTATCGTTTTGTGAAATTATCCTCAGACGAAGGTGATGTGCACAGGCCAAGTGGAGCAGCATACATGCTTAATCAACCCCACATGAATTATATGCGTGCACACGGTTGTGAGTAATTAGTGGCCGTGACATAACAATGTAGGTAGGTGCATGGGGCTTCCACCTCCCTTCTGTGTCACTTAAAATGTCACGCTAATGGGCCACGGAGGAATAATAAAGCCTTCTTATTTAAAGTGTCGAGTGTGCCCCCCCCCCCCCCCCACATGAGCTCACAATTTTGCGCGAAGCCATTCGGCCTCACAAAGCTTTGCTCGCCGTCGACGAAGGGACGACATTCAGGACACATGGAGAACTTGGCAGCAGCAACTCCCCTCGATGTCTTCGTCATCGTGTTCAACATGTGCTTGGCGGCCGCCATCGTGATCTCGAACGCAATTCTGATCGGCGCTCTCCTAAATGCAAAGGGACTTCTCAAACACAACAACTACATTTTCATATTCAGTCTCACCGTCAGCGATTTCATCATGGGCGCCGGCTGGTTCTACAACGGGGTGTTTGACGTGCGCGACAACGTGGGCTCCATCTACAGCGTGACGAACGTCTTCCCAACGATTCACGGCATCTCTCTGCTCACCATGCTCTCGTCGATGATGGACAGGTACTACGCCGTGTCCTCTCCGTTCAGCTATTCGCAGAAAATGACACGCGCCCGGGTGCTGATGGTCGTCCTCTGGATGTGGCTGTGGCCTTTTTTGACAGCGTTCGGCATGGCTTTCGTGAAGGCGGACACTGCTCGCAATTACCAAGGTTACACGACAATAGTGGTGACCGTCTGTCTCCTGGTCATCATGACGGTGGTGAATCTCCGGTTGTATTTCATCACCAAAAGGCAACTCAGCCGCGACCCTGCCAACGACGGGGAGTCCAAGAAGAATTCGGCGAGGCTCATTATCGTTGCGTCTACGGTCTTCATCGCCTTCTGGCTGCCAAGCCTGATCAACTCGAGCGTGTGCGGCGGCTTCGGCCTGTGCTTACCTCCGCGTAGAAACAACCTCAATCCAGTGAACGTGATCCGAATGTTCAACACGCTCAGCTCCCCCATCATCTTCCTCGTCGGAAGCCCTCTGCTGAGGGATTCCGCGAAGAACCTCGCTCGCCGCTTGCTTTGCAATAGGTAACGCGTGCGCGGGTTTGGCGGAGGAAGAGCATTGTTTTGGGGAATGGTGTCAAGGCGTGGCGAGTTCCTTCGGAGAGAGTTGATGCTCTGCACGTTTTTGGCTTTTATTTGGACGTCGAGGAGGCGCCCATACCCTGGCTTGCCAGGAGAAGGCAATACAGCAGGACACGTGGACTGCACATTGTCCTTCTGTGCGGGATAGAGTGTTTCCACCTCGCACACGTGGGGGTTTTTTTTTTTGGCTGAAAACACCTTCATTCATAGAGGACTGCAGAGCTTGGGCAATTGCTGGCACCGGCTCATCGCGTTGCTGCCTTCCCGCTGGTCTGTGGTTCCTCATGCCTTTGAGTAGAGCTCTCTCTATAAGTTGAAATTATATATATATTTTATATATATTACAGGTTAGATTTGATTACCAAACATTTTACATTCCCAAAAAATATAGCGTACAGACATTCTTAGTTATTTGGAGATGCATAAATGCATACTACAGTTGGAAAATTCTTTTCACTGTGTGTTTTGTGGTGCGTTTGTTCCATTTTAGTTGTTGTTGATTTAAAAAAAAACACTAGTGTCATAATCGCATAGGGATGGAACAGCGACCAGAGTTTGATTTCCCAGGCACAGATTGCATTCAGTGGTGAACAATAGCTCACCATGATCCTGGGCCACCCCTTTCACCATAGCACACTGACCAGAGTGGTGAAGCTTGGCCACATAAATCCCAAAGACCGACACAGCAAAGGGAAGTCTTCATCCAGCATGCAGTGACTTGACAAAGGGTTGTAACTCTAAACGTAGGCTTTCTCAACCATTGTTAGAATGCATAGTTTATTCTGGGTTAGATCGTGTAGGTATAATGTGACCGTGTTTTAAACTGTTATTAGTACTCCATAAGTGCGTTTTTATGGGTTAAATATATAAACGTGTCGTTCAAACTAAATGTTGTGGCTTGGCTCTCCAACACACCAGTGTGCTGTACCAGTGACGAATTGGCACGTTCTGTTTGCGTGACAACCCTTACTAGTTGGCTGTGTCGGGTGGTGGCGGGTTTTAACGACACATTTATATATTTACGCGATCTAACCCAAAAAAAAACCTCTTATGGATGATATTGGTCGCGAAAGCCTGCGTGTTAAACTGTTATTAGGACTGTACGCTTTTTTTCATATTCATGATGACAATACATTTACTAAGATCTACGGTATTGTTTTAACAATTTGTGTGCTTCATTCCAGATCTGTTCATCCAAATGTTGGTGCAAGAGAGCGGAAGGACGGCGGTGGATCGACGGTAGCAGTGGTGGAACATAGAGCATGAAACATCTCTTACATTTTCTTGGTTCTTTCGGTAAAGTCACGTAGAATGGAAATAATAAAATAACAAAAATGAAACATAATAAAATAAAATACTTTATTTTAATATGTTTTGTTTTTATTACTTTAACAACAAAAATAAAACATACTAAAATAAAATACTTTATTTTAATATGTTTTATTTTTATTATTTTATTATTTCCATTCTACGTGACTTTACCGAAAGAACCAAGAAGATGAATCCCTGCAGTCACGAAAGCTTTAAATCGAAAAAATCTCTTACTTTTTTTAAAAATTAATTTTAATTTCATTTTTTACCTACGTAACTTTACCGAAAGAAGTAAGAGTATCTCTTACATTTATACTCTTTGGTTCTTTCGGTTAAGTCACGTATAGGTACATTTGTCAAGAGGCAATATATACCCAACAGCCATTGCCTCCAATTATGCCGCACTCTCTTATACAAACACACCTCCAGCTTGAGCCCCGAAAACACCTCGTGCAACAGAGCAATCTCACATCATACGCTTCAATTGAACCGTTTAGCTGTCCCTTTCTATGTTCTTTTTTTTACATCAGTGGGTCAGGAAAATTCTAAGTCGTACATATTTCACAAGTTAATCTGCGAGATTGGCAAGAACTCGATTGTTCTACCTACAACTACTCACATTTGCACAACAATGTACGCAGGTTAATACAATAAACAATGGGTATTTTGTTTCCATCTACTGTGAAATGACATTCAAGATGTATCTGAACGATTTGACCATTTGGCCTGCTTCAGGATATACTGACACAAGTTGGCTGAGTTTTTCATCCTGGCCATGACTAACATCGGTGAACAGTGATGCCTCTAACGGTGCACCAGTCCTCTCCATCAGCGTTTAGGAACCGAAATGGTGCTGGTGAGGCCTTCATCCAGCAATAGATTGACAAATTGGCATATACACCATTGGAACCTCATTTGCCAGTAAAAAATATGATAATTGGTTTGTTACCCTTTTATTTGGCAACAAAACTGACACCTTTTTAACAAGGAGTCATGTTTGCATAGACCACAATACCTGCAGTCATAATGCAAACAAAAAACATAACTCTGATGTATGCACTGTCCTTGAAGTTGATTGGTCCACACCCGAGACAGCTTTCCTTAGAGCCTAGTCTCACATGGTGTTGGACCAGATGACGCCAAAAGGCGCTCTAAGGAAAGCTGTCTCGGGTGTGGACCAATCAACTTCAAGGACAGTGCATACATTAGAGTTATGTTTTTTGTTTGCATTATGACTGCAGGTATTGTGGTCTATGCAAACATGACTCCTCGTAAAAAAGGTGTCAGTTTTGTTGGCAGATAAAAGGGTAAAACAACAATGATCAAATTGGCATATATAACTATTATTGCTATTTATTATGATATTATCAAGCTAGTGGGGAATAGGCAATGCAATATCTGATATAGGTAGTACATAAAGTAAGCAAATAAATATATTAGTTTACTTTCTAAATAATTAGGCTTTTTAACCGACATTTTTTATATACCTGTACAGGGTGATGGAACATATTTCTGCAGTAAATTAGTCATCCCCCCCTCCCTCCGGGACGTCAGTCCCTGGATGGACTGAAGATAGAAATGACCCATGTGGTAAGGGACATACAGCCAGGAGAATTGAGTTGCGTGTCTGAAAAAAGTGTCAAAATATACGTTTCTGTTTGGATATCGAAGGTTTACAATGCAATCAATGAGCGAGAATCAGTTCTACTGCACATCGGATTTTGAATCGCCATTTACATTTAATTGAGAGTTTGTTTTGAGCGATTCAATATTTAAAGTTATGCCTAAATCTGGATGTGTGCATAACTGAAATGTTAAAGCTATGATTGATCATTGGTTTTGGACCGGATCTCGTGAGCACAATGTGTGTCGTAGCCCCTGCTGCACCCGACAGGGTCAGTTCATAAAGTTGTCACGTGATGAACAAAACGTGCCAATTTATTGCCGCTACAGCAGCACCAGTGGTGGTTTCGGAGAGCAATCCACAACATTTAACAATTGGGTGCAAAAAAAAAACAGTCATGAATGACACTATTGTTAGTCGCAATAAACGTACGTGTTCAATTTATTAAAGCTATGCAGCACACAGAACGGGTTGGTCTGAAAGTTAGTACCGTCTACGGAATTGAGACAATAACGAGGCGTGTTTATCTCGGTAAACTAACTTTTGGTCTACGCAGTTGTATACACATAGCAGTGGATAGATCATGGCTGGTGAAGATAACGAATCATATTCACTGACACAACTCGCTCCTTCAGCCCTCGGCCTGTACAGCTCGTTTGGGAGACTCTCTCCACACTCTTCTGGGGTGGGTGGTTGCATTATGACATCCCAGTAAATGTCCGTCATAGTTCGAGAGAGAAACGTAAACGCGTTGTTAGTTTTTTTTTTTATAACCATGGGTATGGCAACCACGGTAGGCAACGGCGTGTGCACTTGTCCGCGTTAATTGTGTTCGTGTGCGAAATAAAAGTCTTGGAAGTTCAATTTGTGGCGGGAGCTGACGACAACCGTCGCTCATTTTCTTTGCACCTGCACGAGCGAGCTCTTGTTGATTCGCGTCCCAACGCAGAAAAAAACAAACCAAGGAGGCAGCGTCGCGTAAGCCACCGCCCATGCTGAAATCTCCCGGCAGAATGGAGGTGTGATATCGGCCAATTCCCCTTTGAAATAGGTGTCGGAACGGTACTGCGGTGATCCTAAGCGAAACCCACAGGCGTGGGTTCCCATCCCGCTAATTAATCCCTGCTGCTGCTGCTGCGGTTCCCAGCGACAGTTCGCGTGAGCACCGTCACGACGACCACTGTTCACAACGACGCCTTTATATATATCGGGCAGGAAGAAGAAGAGGAAGAGACAAACGCCACACACACAAAGAAGGGGCCAAGAGCGATGGCAGCGGAGTCGCTCGCGAGCTTGGCAAGAACTCCGGGCGACGTGGCCCTCGTCGCGTTTCACGTGTGCCTGGCCACCCTCGCGACGGCCAGCAACCTCGCACTGATCGTCACCCTCCTGTCGGCGCGCACGCTCCTCCGAAAGAACAACTACATCTACACGTTCAGCATCGCCCTGAGCGATCTCCTCGTCGGCGCGGGCTGGTTCTACAACGGGCTCTACAACGTGCACGAAGGGCTCGGGTTGGCGTACCACGCCGAGACGCTCTTTCCGATGTTCCACGGTACGTCGCTGCTCACCCTCCTGGCCGCGATGGTCGATCGCTACTACGCGGTGCAGTCTCCGTTCAGGTACGCGCAGAAGATGACGAACCTCAAGGTGGCGATCATCATCTCCGTCGCGTGGCTCTACCCGATCTTGACCAACGTGGGCATGTCGATGAACCCGGGCGGCGGGAGTCTCACGTACAACGGCTACACCACGATGATATTCAACATCCTCATCCTCGTCGTGATGCTCTTCCTCAACGTCCGCCTCTACGTGGTCACTCGGCGGCAGGTGCGGAGGACGCCGTTGTCCAACGACCGCTCGGCCAACGTCATGATCGTCGCCTCGGGGCTCTTCATCCTCCTGTGGTCACCCAACATGGTCCACTCGAGCATCTGCAAGGCGTTCGGCGCGTGCCTGAGGTTCGTCAACAACGCCTCGAACCCCTTCATCACCACGCGGATGGTCAACACCCTCGTCACCCCGATGGTGTTCCTGATGGGGAGTCCCGCCACGAGGGCCGCCTTCAAAGAGCTGACGCATCGCCTGGGCAGGAAAAGGTAGGCTGCTTGCAACAAGGCCAGCCCTTGAGCAATCGTCAGGTGCACGACACCTGCCCCAGGTGAACCTGCCACGGTCACCGCCAGTGGCAAGTTCGATAACGGGGCACAGCTCTCTAATTGAAGCTCCCAGCGCGATTTCTGATTGAAGCTCTTGCTGGACATCTGTGTGTAGGGGGGAAGAGCTTTATAGCTCATCGGATTCCTCCAGTACAAATGAATATTCAGATTCTGAGCACGTGGAGGGAAAGGTCGGAGATCACACCGAACGACAGATCGGATTGCTGCTACAGAGCACAACCGCGAAAACTTACTCGGTAGTCATGTTGGAGAGAGAGGTGGGGGGAGGGGGGGAGGTTGTTTGGCTATACTTCACCACGCTGGTCAATACGGGTCGGTGAAGGGGTTGAGGGTGGGGAGGAGGAGACGGTTTAGTACCGGTTCAGATATATTCCGCACGCCAATGATGTTAGCCGTGATCGGGCATCTCACTCAGGACGCGGGGTTAATGAAAAGTGTGCCGCGTGCTGCTGTCATTGTATACACGGTCAAATCGCGCTTGGAAGTAAACGTGCTTTGGAACGCACGACTACGTTCATAATCACAATGCATCTGTTGCAGATCTCAGCGCAATGTCTCTGATAAGGGAAATTCACTGCCCCGTTCTCAAATGGCAACGTGGTGCGTGCCTCGTGACATACACGGGTTTTATTTCACTCTTGTACGCGTCAACGTCGTTAAAACTACCGGGACAGCAACGGCACGAAGAATGGGCAAAACAAGCATCGCGCGAAGTAGCGATCCGTCGACGAATCTCGCCCATCGGAGACACGCGTCGCGATGTGCACGCGAGAAAAGGTAGCGAACTCCGCAAAATAACGTGGGTGCTGTGGCACGCTGATTTTTACGCGTTAAGGCTAATAAAGGACGTTTGATTTGTTTAACCGTCGGTGCCGAGGGATTTGCCGGCGGTGGAGAATTGTGATTGTGTTTAGACGCCGTCACCGATGGGAAACCCACAATAGAGCTCGTGTCGATGGTGCCACAAGGTTACAGATGTGTAAGGAAGAAACACACAGAGCTATAGACAGACTCAATTGATTGGAGGAAAAAATATCCAGTGATTTAACAAAATCCAACGATTGGACAAACGTACGAGGTGTCCGAACAAGAATATACCATTTTTTTTTAAAATAGTTGTATTGTTATTCGAGATACCGACAATGTAATAAGAATATATGTAATATACTTAGTTATGTTATGGTATTTCTTGGATATTCCTGAATGATGAATACACTTCTGCAAGTCGTCCATCATTCATTATAGTCAATCATTCACTATGATCAATCTAATTCGGCGTTCAAACTCGGAGACGTCTTCCAACACAGCCGTAGGGATGGATGATGACAGCATCAACAACAACAACACGATGTTTAAGTTCTTCAAGGTCCCTTGATGTGCTAGTGTCGACTTTACTTGAAAATAAAAACCACGGAGATAAAACAAATATAAAGGTGTTAAGTCGGCTGTAAGGGGCGGACTTGTCATTATAGCCGAAAATGGGGTGTCGCTTAAAAAATAAAGTACCAATCGATATTCACAACAAACTAAAACTTCTACGTGTAATGCATGTATTCGTATCGAATGTATGTCAGTATCTCGAATAACGATAACACTATTTAACTTTAAATATGGAACTAAAAGCTTTCGTGACTGCAGGAATTCATACTCTTTGGGTCTTTCGGTAAAGCCACGTAGATAGAAAAATACAAAAAATTAAAAATCACGACGTTTCGATCGCAACACAAGCAATCATCTTCAGGTGAAAAAATACAGCTGAGGCAGGAATAAATATAGCGAAAGATGTAACTTTATTTTTCGGTATATTCATTTTCTGACACCCTGTGGAACCGCCGACATCACCCATTGCCGTGCTTCCATCTCCCCTGGCACCTCGCAGCCATTTCGTGTAGCTCCAAGCCTTGTAACAACACCTGCTTAGGCACCGGTGATCACCCGTACAAGTAGCAACTCGGCTCAAAAGTCGACTTCGCTTCTGAGATCCGACAAGATGAGGCTCATCGAGGAAGATTTGTTTGCGGTCAGTACTGTGCTCTAAATTGAAAACTCACTTCTTTAGAACTGATTTTTTTGTGTGTTTAGTTTGTTGTCCTTCCCCCTCCAATTAGCACGGTTGGCTACGTACGGTGCGAAAGAAGTTCAGCATACGTACTGCAGTATAGGGTGGGGCGTTGGCGCAGTGGTTAGGCGCACTGCACGATGAACCCGGCGACTCGAGTTCTTCCAAATCGGCAGCAATGATATCTGACCCTTACCTGGGCTTTCATCCTTCACCAACCCGTAATGATCAACATCGTAGGGTATGGCCAAAACATGACCCGCATGGCAATGGGAGGCCTTTTTCCAGCAGCGGGTTAACAAATGCGCTGTGAATTGCTACTTAAAATACTTTACTATTTCCAATACGTCTTGAAATATAACAAACAACACGTAACCAATGTCAGCTAAACTGTGTGTGTCCCTTTTGTTTTGCAGAACTGTGAAGCCACTGCCCACGTTGAATGATCCATAACCAAACAACAACTAAACACGTGTAAAAGACAAAACAAAAACAATACTGCAATAGCATTTCACAGGACACAACACACAAACGTAAATATATCATATCATAAATGTTGCCTTTATAAACATTATAGTTGCAAATGGTAGGGAAAATAGCAGAGGGTCGGAACAAAATATGATAGCTCTACAAGTTTGAATCGTTCACACGTCTATTTACCGATATCGGTTTAGATTGTTTATAAACGCTGCCGAAAATCATTTAGAAAATCTGAGTCAAGCATCTGTTCAGCCAGTGATGGAAAACTTGAATATATCCATAGAAACTCCTGCACGTTTGTGTGCACTGAATATTGCATTGATGTTGAATTGGACAATATTGTTATGATTTGAAGGTATGAACGAACTTGCTTTCAAAAAAAGCAATTGTTGCTTATAATGCTTAAAGGTATGTGTTACATTGTACATTTTGTGTGTCAGCTACATTTGAAAAAAATTGCTTAATATTTCCCAAAAATTTTTTTCAAAACTATTTGTGCTCAGACCTTAGCATTTCCCCAAGAACTTTTGGAAATCTTTCACCAGTGGCCAAATCACCCTGAATGTACCCTAGGTAATCAGGTCTCGAAACCTGAAGGGGGCTACACCTGGGTAGTCTACTCATAGGAAACTGCCTGGGCTATTCCCAACTATCGTATATGCTTGGGCTGCAGGCTAGCGAGTATAGGTAGCAATACCACAATGGGTCATGGAATCTATATTCGTGGAGCTTTGAGTGTTACCCCTCTCGTGCATGACTTTATCCGTGTACTCTGGTTCCCTCCCACGCAAAGCTACCCACAATTAAATGCATGAGAGGGGTAACAATAATCAAGAATGCTTTTCCTGGATAAATAAAGGACGTTATTATTTATTAAGCTGTTGTCATGCTTCTTTCTTTTCTTTCTCATATGAATACTTGAAGGGAATAAAGTAAACTCAGAACATTATACAAGAGCAGATTAAAATGTGTTCGAAAATGTAATTGCACGGTAAAACATCAGGGAGTGTAACATAATCTCATAACGTTTCACAACATGAAAAGGACATTTCTAACACACTTTTGCGTAACTTTGCAATGTGCGTGCATTTATCAGCATACATTTAAATGTGTCTCTGAATGTCCCAGCACTAATTGCAGGGCCTATCTTGCACCCGTCTAGGCAAATACAGGGGGCTACGTCAATTTGTGTTGCTTTATCTCCTGTCGGACTAGCGAGCCGCAGTGGAAGCCAAAGGGGAATATGAAAGTGACATGCACCCCCCCCCCCCCCCACAGACGTTGCCTGATGCCAACTCTCTCTGAAACAATCAATTGCTTCGAGCATGAAACTTACACAGGGCCAGATTTAGGCACCTGCTCAGTAAGCTGCAGCTTAAGACCTCACATTATGAGGGGCCTCTAAACACGAAAACCAAACAATACGAAGCTTCAAGTTTGACATAATCGGTTGAAAGATAAAGGCGATAGGCAAAACAGACTCTCTAAAACGGTTATTTTTACTTCGAAATCACAATAATATAGAGGCATTCCTTCATGGGGCATCTTACGCATAGCTTAGGGCCCTAGCATGTCATAACCCGGTCCTGAACTTGTAAAACTGGTGGAGAGTTATTTTGACGTACTTATAATTGCATTTAACATATGCCTGTCATTTGCCAAATGACTACAGAGTGGTAGCCTCCAGTGGGTCAATTAAAACATGTCCGTTTTTATCACATTATTGTATCATCCGCCCTTTACAAACAATGTGGATGCCCAACTTTTATTTCAGTACAACGTGCGCAACGGCTTCAAAATACTGTGCGCGTGTGGTGTATGTCCACAACAATTCTAGGAATCCACTCACTCACGACAACCGTGAATACTCAAAGCAACCCTAAACCCCTTTTCAGGACTATTAAGCCAAAATGTTAAAACCTCACGTGTGGACTGACGATGACGGACAGCAATCACGGTGACATGCTATTTAAAGAGGACCCTGCAACGCAACACGATTTTTTAATCCTTTATATTAAGTTCACTTGCTTGCTTAGGACCGTGCAAATCTTTCGGTCGTTTTTTAACCCACTTCCCGTGATCCAATCGAGCTGACATTTTGCACACAGACTCGTTGTCCGTGACAATTAATTTTCGTGAATTTTTTTTCCAAAATTTTACACTTTTTAGGATTTTTTTTTATATTTAATTACCAATTGCTTAATGGTGGCAGGCAATCATCTGACCCATATGTGGCAGCCATCTCAAGCCAGAGGACGAGAGGACTCGAGCCGCCACGCATATAAAGGATTTATAGTGAAAAACTTTGTTTTTATGGGTTAATTTTTTATAAACGAGGTCAAAGGTGTAGGCGCAATCCCGCAATTGCTCGCTCACACCACTGTTGGTGGATAGGGCCTTCGCGAGAGGAAGCTCAAGGAGGGCACGGGGTGGGCAACCTGAGGCTGCGGAGCCGCGTGCAGCTCTTTAAGGGCTGCGGTGCGGCCCTTGAAAATCGAGAAGATCAATGTCTTCTTGTTATAGTGATTGGTTTTTACCCTTTCAACTGGTATAAAAACTGACACCTTTATACAAGGCATCGTGTTTGCAATGACCACAACACAAGCAGTCAAAATGCAAACAAAAAGAAACAACTCTGATAATGATATGCACTGTCCTTGAAGTTGATTGGTCCACACCCGAGACAGCTTTTCTTAGAGCCTAGTCTCACATGGTGTTGGACCAGATGACGCCAAAAGGCGCACAACTCAAAGACAATGTACTATCAAAGTAATGAGAGCTCGGGGTAAGCATTATTACTGCAGATAAAAGGGTAAAAAAACAATTATCATATTTTTCTACTGGCAAAGGAAGTTCCAATGGTGCGTAGAATAAATATTGCGGATAAATTGGCGAGCCGCATGTGCACGAAATCGCACAAACCGAACCGAGATAGGGCAAGGGAAACCTGTACTGCCCTCTGCTGCTCACAACCAATTTTGCTTGAACCGTACAAAACATTCACGTGGACTTCATTGCTTTGGTTTTCTCTGTTTGTCCAAGTGCGGTGTTGTGGTTTGCGATTCGTGTTGAGCATTTCTCCTGCGGGCGTCGTCAGCAGAAGACATTTGCCGTTAAAGGCTTGGAATTAAAACGTGTCTTCCGTGGGGGTACCTTAAACATGGATTATTACCCTGTACGCAAAACAACAACGCATTATAAATTCCCAGCGGAGACCTTCGCATTGAGTGTGTCAAATGTTGCATTTCCCTTGAGCGACCAGCTGCGTCTGCGTGTTTTGCTTTGGCAAGGGCCGGATGGAAAAACATGAAATCCCATATGAATGTCAGAGTTGGACGTGAACGTTGTGGTTAATATACACCGTTCAAATCACTACTACGCATTGCATTTTAGTGCGGTAAAAACCGATAGAGTGTATACAATACACATATTTTAAATACACGTTGTTATTATTCATAATATATATTTATTTTGGATCAGACCGCGTACGTAAAATGTGTTGTAAACCCTCCTCCACTCGACGCAGCCAATTAATAAAGTTGGCACGCAAACAAATGTGCCGGTCATTCTCATAGCGGCTTTTGGCGAGCCATTGAACAAAGACGGCCAGTGCATCGTGCGCTTTTAGATGCGCTTCTGTGGACGTCTGGAACGCTCTTCCCTCCAATATTCGGGAGCCACTTGGAGCTATGCACGATTAAACTTAGATATGAAACTCATTTATTTAGAACAGCTTTTTTATCCTTGAGTTTGTTGTCCTTCCCCCACACTTAGCCTGTGGCTTTCGCGCAAGACCTGAACCTGGCGAAAACTTTGCACGGATTTATTTCGCGCGTTTGATTTCACGCCAGCTCAAGAAAGTGAACCCGGGGCAGAAATTCATTTGGCCCCATTGTCGCTAACGAGCTGGCGGGAGGGGCGAATGGTGATAGTTCAAGGCGATGTTTCGCAAACCAAGCCGTTGTCAGCCGACTGGACACTCTGCTTGCCTTTGTCATTCGGTGGAGCCGAAAACCCCAGAGCCACTGGTGGCTGTGTTGCCAGCGAGCTCTCTCTCACACACACGCACGCACACGCGCACATGCACACACGCACACACACATGCACACACACGCACGCACACACGTACACAAACGCACGCACACGCACACACGCGACTCGTGATTGATAGGCCGAGCGATCGTAAAACAATGAGAAACTCAACACAACGCATTTGTAAATTACCCTGTGGCCTTCAAATAAATATTTCTATAATCGGCGAAGTTTCGGCCAACGGCCCTTCATTCATAGCGCATCAAAGAACGGTTATAAAGAAGGGACACTGCCCGTTTTTTTTCTTACAATTGTGTGCCACCTTCGACCGCCGCGTTCACAGCGCAGTTGCATTTGCTGCCGTGTCAAAGCTCCAACATGCGGACTCAAACAAAAAACAACCCCACCCCCGTGTAGCCCGACACACGGTGACGGCACGGATCGTGGTGATCGGCGGCAATGAGTGACACGGCGCTGAGGGTGGGGGGGGGGTCGCCACCTCACTCTGCCTTGATTCCCTCCAAAACAACTGGAACGAAGGGGCCGTCCATAAATGACGTCACGTGATTTTGGACGATTTTTGACCTCCCCCCCTCGTCACACGGCGTCACATAAAGTCAGACCCCCTCCTCAAATATGACGTCATAAAGCTCTGCCCCCCCCCCCCCAAAAAAAACATATTTCCATTTTAAAAATAAAACTTGCTTCAAATCGCTTTAAACTATTGTCATTGTAGTGCGTGTTTAATGTGGCGCTGCACTCTGATGTTGTAGGAGAAAACATTTATTAAAAAGTATCTTTAATTAAGTAGAACGTGTTGTCTATATTTATTTAAAGTTGCGCATTTTTATGTGACGTCACATTTCTCAAGCCACCCCCCTCGTCACACATCGTCACAAATGTCTGACCCACCCCCCCCCCCTAGGTGCGTGACGTCATGTATGGACGGCCCCTAACACGATGCACCGAGTCAACCTAAAGGGGAGACAGACTCACAACCACTCACGTGATGCGCGCACGTCTGGCAATGTAATGTGTCAGTAAAACAATCTGCGGTCAAATAAATTGCCTTCATTCCCCATTCCTTCTCCCTCACACGCACCAAGATGCATTCTCCCTCGACTGGAGATCTGTGAAAAAAAGAGCTTTATAGATCATCGGATTCCTCCGGTATGAATACAGAAACATTCTGAAGTCGCTCCCCCCCGTACAGATTTTCAGACTGTTGGGAGCAAGTGCTGTTAGTGAGCATACAAAGGACAAAAATCCCCCGTGTAGCCTTGACCAAGCCGTAGGGGCAAGTGCTGTTAGAGAGCACACGCACACAAAGACAAAACATCCCCCGTGTAGCCTTGACAAAGCCGTAGGGGCAAGTGCTGTTAGTGAGC